ATTCAGGGGGAATATAGCCTGTGCACAGCAAGGGAAAAAGAAGGTAGTTAGTGGATGAGAAGTAATGTTGGAGGTCAGTTTCGCCAGCTGACCCTGAGATGACTGTGTGTGATTCACTGAAGGCTCCAAGTTGCAGCTGGCAGGGAATGCAGGCAGCAGAACAGGATGGATAAGAGTCAAGCAAAGGTGTGATTTGGGCTCCATTCCAGCCTCAACTTGTAGGAAGCTCTGGAGTGTAACCTACACTCTAGAATGCGCCTTCACTCAAGGCAAGAGAGCTGAGCTTTCATATTCCTGCTCGGTTGGGACTGGCTCCCAGACGCTTCTAGTGAAGGAATGCCTTTGAAGAGTCATGGTATGAGCTGTTAGGAGCACAGCACACAGATGCTAGTGGAGGGACCACAGAGTGGCGGCAATGCATGGGTCTGTGCTGGGTGAGGTGTTGGCAGTGGCCAGTACACCTGGGGACTTGTTGACAGCAGAGGTTCTGGCTTTGCAGTTAAGTTGTGCTTCCTAGCCTTGTGCAGAGCCCAAGGAAGAGAAGGAGCCCATGCGAAAGAATTTGAGACAGAAAACACACTCTTAACTTGATCCTTGTTATCCGTGGTAGGTTATTTCCACCCGCTGTCACTGGGGAGAGCAGGTAGATGGTTTCAAAGCCCTCAGATGGCTGGGGGAGAAGGTTCATCATGTTGACTACGTGAGACTTCTTGACACATGGTGAGGTAGAAATGAAAAATGATAACGCAGCTGAGTGAGGTTTGTGTTCTTATGAAGATTTGACATGTGGGAGATGATTGCCACTTCTTTCCACTTGCCTTCTCTTACCATCGTCTCCACTGGAACCAAGCCTGGTTACTGCACTCCCTTCTCTTCTACCAAGGACTAGAGTTTCTCTGAGGCCCCATGAGAGGAAGAACAGGGAAAAGATCTGAAGAGAAACCTCGGTTCAAATCCTGCCCCTACTGCTTATTAGCTGTGTGAGTCAACTTCCCTGAACATCAACTTCCTTACATATAAAATAGGGTGTAATAATGCCTACACCTATTAGAATTATACTGAAGTCAGAAAAGATTGAAGGTTCCAGAAGCTTCAGCTTCTTCATCTAGACTCTACAGTGTAATAACATCAATAAAATAAATGACGCTGATAACTCCTTCTCCGGACTGACATGGAGGTTAAAGAACTAAATCCAGTAGATGGACAGTATGTGGTGTTGTACTTGCTCCGTCCTAGGAACCCCTCCATCCTCAAGGCTCCTGAATGACAAGAAGAATGGGTCTTTTCACTCTTGCCACTTCTGATTAGGTTATTTTTCACATAGGCTTGAAACCCATTAGCGGTGCTGCATATTGCATTTTCTAATAAAAATCTTCCTCTTCTCCTTCTGGCTGGGTGAGAGATGACCAGTTGTCTCAAGGTAAGCAGATGCAGAGCTCTCCAGAGGGAGAGAAACCCCACTGAGCCAGGCCCACTGGGCCCAGGTGGGACATCTACAAATGAGGAAATGTCAAGGAACTTATTTTTCTCCTGGTAAACGTCCTGGACCAAGCTGGACCTGTTTAATTTAAAGGTAAGAAGTGCAAATTGAATCCTTCACTGAATGCATTTATCGCCTCGCAGTTTCCTGCAAGAACCTAGATGGGGATTAATAGGTTTTCTCTAAGAAGGAAAGACAGGAGAATGCCAGTAAGTCCACCGTCTTCACAAGGTTTGAGAGGATGGATTTCTAACAAGTCTAATTTAATCCTAGTTCAAGTTAAAGTATGGAAAATTCCAGGCCAGAAAGAAATAAACTGGAATGCCACAGAATGTTAGAGATAAGTTAATTTAAGCTTCCTTACTCAGTAGATAGGGAAAATAGGCTCACAGAGGGAACCAATGTGTCCACAGCTGTGTACCAAAGGGCTGCTGGCTGGGATGAGGAGAAGTCACCCAACTGCTCCATCCCAGCACTGGCCAGGGGTTCCCAAGTTGTCACTCACTTCTGCACCACTGTCGTGATTTGTAATGTTTACACACCATCTGCACCATTGTTAGTGTGGTTTCTTTACCACTTGGGTCAATCTAATTTTTTATTCCTAAATAAATTTATCTTGAAGGGAAACGGCTGTAAAGGGAAAGCAAGGATCATCTGCTACGCGTACATGGCAACCATAAAACTAAATGCTATGAAATGATGCAATACAGTTAAATTTGAGCAAAGCACTGCTGTGTGTGGATAGTTCATTCTCTGTGTTAAAAGAGAGACTCATCCTGTTATGGCAAACTTAAAGTGGAGTAGCTTTCTCATTGTATGAGAGGATTTTTATGGTATATGTGCTGCCAAAGTGAGCATAGGAGAGGATTTTTTAAATGATGTGTTTGTGGACAATGAAACTCCTTTCTCCTATCATAAATGGTCAAGTTGATTAGGAAAGGAAATATGCATGACAATTGCTAAGGAAATCTCATCCTTAACATTACACGAGTTAGAATCCTAACTGTGTCACTTACCAGCACTAGACCTTGAGTGAATCATTCAATCTTTATTCTGTCTCTGTCCCCTCACTCACAAATGAGGAATAATAGTGTGTGTGTGTACTACGGAGTTGTTGCAAGTATCAAATGAGATAGTACATATAGAGCCCTTACAACAGCATTTGGTTCAGTATAAGCAAACAATAGCAGCAGGTAGTGTTGTAGTTACTGTTAAAACTGTTAAAAAGTGCCATCAGACCCAGTAGCAGGATGCAAACTTTATTTGTAAAGGTTCAGGTAGTAAATATTTTGCAATCTATACAGTCTCTGCTGCAACTACTCAGTCCTGCCATAATAGCAAGGAGGTATTCTTATGCAGGATGTAAACAAATGGGCATGGCTATGCGCCAACAAAAATCTACCTACCAATAATAGACGGCAGGTTGACTTTGGTTGTCAGGCTCTGGTTTATGCTGGAGAAGGGTATAGGTATAAAAAACAAAATCATAATAAGCTACATAAAATATCCACTCACATGACATAACATCATACCTCACACTATATCCCAAATATCAAACTTTTGACTTAAATCCCACACACCTGAAATACAGGTTCTGGACCAAAATCTTTAGTTCTACTACTTATTATCACCTTAGCTGCCCCCAAGTAGCCAGGGGACTGAACAGGTCATAAAACTGAAGTCAAATGGAGTTGAAAAGAATGGTTCAGTGTCAGAATGACTCAGTTTTGCCATTCCCGCTGCAAGTGGCATGATTTTATTTTTACACACAAGGAAATTGTAGCTCACTGGAGTGAGGTAATTTACCCAGTGTCACACATCCAGCAGATTGACATCAGATTATGAAGTTTGGTTCTAATCCAAAAACCCCAGGGCCAGCTGCATGTCATCATGATGCTTACTTTTCCTGTGTCTAATTTCCATGATAGAGAAAGGGAGAGCTTGAGAAGGATTTAGGGCTGGAAATAATGCTGATGATTTAGGATCCGACTTTTACCAAAAAAGGAAGAACAAAGTCTTTAAAGACCAGAAGATCAATGTCTTGGTCACTTTTCTCTCCTTGCTGAGACAAAATACCTGATGCCCACAATTAAGGAAGGAAAGGTTTCTTTAGCTCATTGTTTGTGGAAGTTTCAGTCCATACTAGGCTGGCTCCAAGGCAGAGTGGCACATGGCAGAGGGCAACAGTTCATGGCAGCAGAAGATGGCAAGAGCAGCAAGAGCAAAAAGGGAGAGGTGCAGCAAGCAGCCTCTTTCCCTCCCTTACACTGTATGCAAGCTACCTGCCCCAGGGCAGGTGTAACACTCAGACTCATAATCCCAGCATTGGACCATGGATCAATCCTAAACTCTAGAAGCCCACACCCATGACTGCATGAGGCTTTAGGGGGACACCCAGACACAAACTATAACAATAGACTAGAAAGGACCTAAGGCCAGACCTGCTTCTGTCCTTACTGGTCAACCCTGCCTGTGGACCTGTGCATTTCTCTTACCTGTCTGTTCCTTACTTTCTCCAAATAGAATAATAAGAGGTAGCAGTATAATAAGAGTTCATACACAGGGCAAAGGGCTTTCCAACACCTTCATCTCCTTACAATAATGTGTGAGACTTGACCTTGGTTGCACAAATAAGGTGAATCCCAGAAGGTGATTTAGATTCTGAGGGTAACAGAACTAGTGACTGGTGAAGCTGGGATTTGAATGCCAGTTGGTCTGGTTGTAAGTCCAGGTTTCTCCAGTGCAAAGCACTGCGTCCCTGCCTAAGTGAGTCCATAGCACGGAAGACACACATATAGATGTTTTGTAATTCTAGAGCTGACTCATGCGGTAATCTTACCATGAGCTTGGCACTGTGCACATCTAGGTGTTCCAAATGATCCTACTTATGAATAGGTGTCAATAGAATCCTGCCTGTGGATTTGGGAACTAAGGCTCATAGACCTTAACTAACTTAGCCAAAGTCACTCAGTTAGTAAGAAGCCAGGCTTGGGTTTGAATCTGAACTCACTCCAAACTGCATGCTCCTAATGCGGTGATGATGTAGCTTATCATCCAAACCAGGACAGGTTTGTTTGAGAATGCAAGCCACCATTGTTAAATCAGGATAGCAGGAAAAACCAAGAACAAGTGGTCACCTGAGCTCCTGACCACTGTGCTCCTCCATAATGGGTTCTTCTCCTCTCTCAGGACAACTAAGAATCATGACATGGAGAACTCTATTGTATCTGGTACTATCAACATTTTAACCACTATAATTAACTGAGAAACACTGTAGGAAAGAAATCCTGTGGAGACAAGGTATTTGGAGTGCAGTGCTTGACAGTTTTTGGGAGGGGGGAATTTAATTACTTCTAGAGAGGCTACGAGAAATAGCAAAGGACAATGAGCACCCTCCCGCCTTCCCTTTTCTCTCTGCTGGCAGGCACTAAGTGGAATGGAGAGGTGGATTAAAAGAGTGCTCCAAGGAAATGGAGATGAATGACTTTAGATTCAGTGTAATAAGGATAAAGTGATCTTTTAGATACAGAAAAGAGACCAGACCTTATCAGAATATTACTTGAAACCATACCTACCTTTCCCTCAGGGGCTAACGTCACACAGGGCCAATGTTGGTGGTTGTCTCCACTGTACACCTAAGGGTCTGCTGGGGAGGATTTTCTGCTTTAGAACCTCCAGCATTCTACCATAAGGGCCTTGTCCCTTTGGGTAAAGGTTTCATTCCCTTAGGAGACCAATTTTAAAAGTAAACAGCCATAGAACCATTTGAGTCCCTTATCAGGTATAAACATGAAGAAGCTTATTCCATAGGATTCCTTTTGAAGTTTACAGTGGTCTAGGCTACTGGGAGGGTAAGTTTTGATAGAGAAGTGGCAAAGGGGAAGCTTCAGAATGTGTGTTTTTGCCTGAGGAAGTTACCTTAGTCTGGGGCCTGCCTAAGTGGTGCCTAAATAGAGCAATAGTACGGAAGGAGAAGATGGCGTTGGGAGAGCAAAGTCCACCACTACAGTCTTGACCCTGGCGTGCTCTGGGGCTAATAACCCTGCAGCACAGGGTGAGGTCATGGGAGCTGGAATGGTTCAAGACAGAGTTCAGGGAGCGGACACCTCAAAGCGCTATGGGTAGTTCTGTGCATTTGAGGCTCCTGGTAAGTTAATCACCTTGTGACGGCTCATCTTCCAAGCATGAAGTTTGGCTGAAAATGAAATAATCCTTATGGTCTGTTTCAGCTCTAATACCAAATGCAACTCTAGATGGTATTGCTAAGTGCAGCCTGCTGGGCCTAAGTGGGTGGCTTAGAGCTAAGAGGCTCTTGACTGGAGAGCAGGCATAACAAGCCTCTGCTCTCTCCCCTCCACGTTATTCCTTCAGCTCACCTTAATTTTCTTGATGACCAAGAAAGCTTTTCCCTCTCTCCTTATCCCATTTCTCCTTTCTGCTCTATGGGGGGAGTAGAAAAGACAGGCCAGCGAGAGGGGAGGGTTGCTGGCTCAGGATCCCACTCGGAGGCAGGGTGAATAAAGAATTGGCTCAAGGAAAACTAGGCAAAGTCAAGATCCTAGACTACTAAGTGCGGCAGGCACAGAATTTTACCTGGAGATGGCCTGAAGACTGGCCCCACAGTCTAAAGGAACACGCTGGGCTAAGGCGGAGGATGGTTAGCCTCTTAAGATGGTTTTCCATCTATTACTGAGACTCAGCGTAGACTAATGGACATTTACCTGAGCAGGGCCTAGGCTGGGTGCTTTAAGTATTATTTCATGTAATCCTCACAACAACTTTCAAGGGGAACATTATCTTCAGTTTGCAGAGGAAAAACCAACAACTTGGGGAAGATAAATCACTTCTGTTTGTGCAGCTCAGCAGAGGTGGGAATGCTGGAATGCAGGCCTGGTATGATCATCAGGTCCAAGGCTGTTCCACTACGCTGTGCTACCGTGTTATGTTTTTTGTTTTTGTGGTACTAGAGATCAAACTCAGGACCTTGTGCTGGCCAGGCAGGCGCTTGTGCCACTGAGCTGTATCCCCAGCCCTACCCTGTTATGAAGAAGTCCAATGTCACTGTCCCTTTTGCTCACTCTGTAACGTGTAGCTCAGAGGGCAAAGGCTGAGTGCCTGGGTCTAGGTTTCATTGATTAGCCTGTCACTTGGGGCAAGTTAACCTCTGTGAGCTTTAGTTTCCTTATTCTAACAATGGAGGGTTAGACTTCCTTACCTCATAGATTTGTTGTGGGGATTACATAAAATGTAATGTACATAATGGGTTTTTAGTTCCATGGCAAGAGCTTTATAATTTTCAGCTATTATTCTTAAGGTGTATGCAAACAATATGGAAATAAGCCCCTGAATTCTATAGACAGTTGGGGCCTTCTGCTAAACCCCAGCTGGTTTCAGGTGCCATTTGTGAAGACTAAGATCTTAGTCACGTCCACCATCACCAGCCAGCCACCGACATTTGGGTGCTTTGTAAGGAATGTTCATAGTATTTCACCATGTGTTGAGCACAACTAACCTGTGAGGTGGGGAACATGGATGTGTTGACCCCTTTTCCAGGTAAGTCTTGAGTCCCACACCTACAAATGGAACGGAAGTTTGTTTTTAAATTCCCAAGTTCAGTATCATCCACTCTGTCGTAAAGAATAAAGGTGGGCATGTTTTAAAGAGAGCTGGGTCTGATTCCCTGGAGCCCTCAGATGTACGGATGTGCACTTGAGTAGGCTGACAGCTCTTTTAAAGAGGAGGGGCACTGGAGCCTGCCGATGCCAGAGGGGAAGCATTCAAGCTAGGTTCCTTGCCTTTCCCCTCCGGAACTCTTGTGCATTTGTTTTTTTTTTTGGTTTTTCTCTGGTACCAGGAACCGAACTCACGACCTTGTGCTTGCCAGGCAGGCGCTTTGCCGCTGAGCTAAATCCCCAGCCCCTCTCTTGGGCATTTGGTTTCTCAATTTCAGCTCAGGTTGACTCCTCCACCCTAACTCAGACCCGGCTGCGTCTGCCTGGACCAGGCCAAGCTCATCCCTCCCCCTTCCACTTTCCCCAGAAGCTGTTGCCCATCAAACTCCTTGAGGATCTGTTCACTCACTCACTCCGGTGCATTTCCATCCAGAAGCTTATGGGGGTGTGGGCTGCAACTGTCTCCAGGGGCTAATCGTTGAGCATGAGGCAACAATAAACACATTTTCATGTCTCAGCTGAGCCAGCTTGGCCGCTGAGGTACCATGTGTTGTTTCTCACCCAGGACTGTTAGTTTGCTGGCCAGTGGGAGGAAGAGCAGCTGCGCGCCCTCTCGGTCATTCTGCGACGCTACAGCGGCCTCTCCTGGCCATCCCCAGAGCTACCGGCTCTCTGGTCTCAGATTTCAAGGTCCATTCTTTTTACAGGGGTATCCACTGAGACTTCCTAGACAGCCTGGACAGAACAGAGAGAATAATAAAGTACTGTTCTCATAAGGTTTACACGTGTGTGTGTGTGTAGTATAAAGTATACCTATATGTGTAAATATGTGCTGGGTGGTCAGGACTACAGAAAAAAAAAAAAGCAGACACGAGGAATAAGAGGGGAGGAGGGTAATGATTTTCAGTAAGGTGGTCAGAAAAACAACACTTGATAAAAAATGACAAGTGAGGGAAGAAAGTCCAGGGAGAAAAAACAGCAATGATGAAGGCATCAAAGTAAGAGGGTGCCTGGCCTGTTTAAGAAGCAACAAGATCAGCAGTGTGTGAGGGAAGAGTAGAGAAGATCCTGTCTGACAGCAGGGACAGGTCCTGTAAAGCAGAGGTCCTCAAAGTGGGATCCTCATCCCAGGAGCACCTGGGAACTTGTTAGAAATGCAAATTATCAGGAAACCCCAGACACTGGGGTGAGGTCCAGCTGTTTGTATTTTAACAAACTTTTTAGGTGAGGTTGAGGACCACTAGCTAATGTAAGGCCTTGTGGGACTTTGGGAGGTTTGGCTTTTATTGTGCAATCAAAGCCATTCAGAGTTTTTGGGATGGAGAGTGACATCGTCTGAGTAAACAATATACACACTTGTGCCTGGGTTCTACCTTCAGACACTCTGATGTAATTGATCTGAGATATGCCCTGGCCACTGGAATTTCCAAAACTCTCCAAGTAATTCCAATGTGCAGCCAGAGGCATGGTCACTCTGGCTTCTGGATGGAGAATAGATTGAGGGGGACAAGGGAGGAAGCAGGGGGCTTAGTCAGGAGGCATTGGCTGTAATATAGGTAAGGAATGAGGGGGGCTTAGCCCAGAGTTGCAGCAGTAACTGCAGCTCTGGTGAGAAGCAATCAGACTGTGGAACTATTCTGAAACTGAAATAGATTTGCAGCAGATTCGCTGGTGGACTGGATGCAGGGTGTAAGAGAAAGTAAAAATTCAGAATGACTCCCAGGTGGTGAACCTGAGCAACTAGAAAGAGTGCAGTTTTTGTTTACAAAGGTGAGGAGACTGGGGGAGGACCAGGTTTCACCACACAGGGGAATTGCGAGTTTAATTTTAAACATGTTAAGTCTGAGATGTCTATGTGAGGTTGAACTGGAGAAGCTGAGTGGGCTGTGTTCAGGCACGATGTCCAGACTGCATGTATGAATTTATGCAGCCTCAGTGGTAGACAGTGTTTAAAGCCTATAGATGAGGTCAGTTAGGAAGGAAGTGATGACAGACAGGAGTCCGAGGGGGGCTCTGGGGCATTTCAGTGCAGGAGGTAGGAAGAGAACCAAGAGCAAGTGGTACGCATGGTCTAAGAGAACAGGTATTCCCAGAAGGAGGGAATGGTCAACCATCAAAAGGTCCTCGCTGGTCAAGAAAAGATGAAGTATGAGAACTGACCACTGGATTTAGCAGCAAGGGACCACAAAGGACCCTTTGTAGAGTGGAGGAGAGGACTAGGAGACAGGGTGGACAAGCAATTCCTCGGAAAAAATTTTATTTTATATTTTATTTTTTTTGTTTTTTCTCCGGTACCGGGAACCGAACTCACGACCTTGCGCGTGCCAGGCAGGCGCTTTTGCCGCTGAGCTAAACCCCCAGCCCTGGAAAAAATTTTAAATACAAAAGAATGAGTATGTTTGTATCTTTTTTGGGAAAGATCTTCCAACACATGGAAAAGTGAGATACTTCAATAAAAGCAAACATTTATTAAGTACATTGTTAAGCTCCTGGTAGTGAATTTAATGTTTTACACGAATTATTCTCTTCAAAGTTTTTCTTCTTCACGGTCTTCAGTTTATAGATGAAGGGGCCTGAGTTCTAGCAGTGAACCAACGGTCCCAAAGACACATGGCCAAGAAGACGGGACGGCAGAGGTTTCACCCTAATGCCTTCACAGCCAGAGTCCTTAACCCTTGCTCTGTGCACCCCAGTCCTCCGGGTTCTTGCATGTTCTTTTAAAAATTTTGAGCCTGGCATGGTGGTGTGCACCTATAGTCCCATTACTCTGGGAGGCTGAGGCAAGAAGATTAAAAGTTTAAATCCAGGCTGGGCACCTTAGTGATTTAGCAAGACTCTGTTTTAAAAATAAAACTTTAAGAAAAGGGGCTGGAGTTGTAACGCACTGTGAAGGTCCTGAATTCAATCTTCAGTTCTGAAAAAATTTTTAGTTTTGATGCTTAGCTAGAAGGTATAAAATGATTCAAAACAGCACCAAAGAAATCAACAAGTAAAAGTAATCGTGGCCATAGTTCTATGCGATAAAGTCTCATGGAGTCTAGAAATGCTCCCATAGTGATCTCGCTGTTTACTGTGTCATCCCCAGCCTCATGCTGCTGTTACACAGAGCTGTCTGCTGCCTAGAATGCTCAGGTGCCGGCCTCACTGGGCTCACCCATGGACCTGCAGTGTGCAGTCTCCGGGATTCCATGAGACATGCCCCCTTCCTTTGTTGCCAGCCTGGGCGCTCAGATAGGCTTCCTACCTTTTCTCAGTCACTCTGCTCTCTGCATCAGACCGGAGGGGTTGGATCATAAGTCACTGCTACTGGAAAGAGAAAGAAGCAGTGTCTCTCCTGGGTTCTATAGTGTGCCCCACACTTCATGTCTACGCGGAGTCTCAAAAACATGAGCTTATCTAGAAATAGGATCTTTGCAGGTGTCATTACTAAAATGAGGCCATGCTGGATTAGGGTGGGTCCTGGTCCAATGACTGGCAACCTCTCTTATAAAACAGAGACACAGATGGACCCAGGAGGAGAATGCCATGTGACGATGGAGGCAGAGACTACAGCGGTGCAGCTACAAAACACCAAGGATTGCTGGCAACACCAGAAGCTAGGGAGAGGCAAGGGAGAACCCTTCAAAGCACATGGCCTCGCCAAGGCCTTGATTTCACGTCTAGCCTCCAGAGTTGTCAGAGAATAAATTTTGACTGTATTACCCCACCACAGTTTTGGCCATTTGTTATGGTGGCCCAAGGAAACTGGGGAGGACTTGGCAGTACACCTGCGAAGGATGCTGTGGTACCCCCGTGTGGTGTACGCATTGGTCAGTGCTGCCCAGCACTGAGATCACCATTAGGGACACATTAAGGAGAGGTGCAGAATGATACACCTGGGAGGATCTTTGGAGATAACGTAGTTCATAACTTATCTTAAAGACATGGAGAGCAAAGTCCGGGAAGAGCAGAGGGCTTCTCCAAGGTCAGATGGCTATTTAATTGTGAGTCCTATATCTGCCATACTGCTTGGCCCCCTAGGAAGTGCTCAACAAACATTTGTTGAATGAATAAATGCATAGAATGCAAATGCCTGATCTCCAGTTCAGATTCTTTTAAATAATATGCTCATGGTTTGCAGAACTTAAAACCAAAACTACCTTGTTTATTTATTTATTTTTTCCAGTACCAGGAATCGAACTCACAACCTCACGCTAACCGGGCAGGCGCTGTGCCGCTGAGCTAAATCCCCAGCCCCTACCTTGTTTAAATTGGCAATTACTTTTGTCCAGATGCTCAGGTTAATGCATATCATCATTGGATTAATTTCATATTGTTGAAATGTCAAGGGTTTTTAGAGATTTCACCAGAGAAAATGTCTAACATGGAAGTATAATGCTTTGTAGGTTTTTCTTTACCACCTAAATAGGATTTTCCTGTCCAACTGGTTATTCTTATTAAATGGCTAAGCTTCCTAAAAACAGTGCCACCTAAAATTTACTAATATTACTCCTACACATTGACTCTAGTTATTTTTCCCTCAGGCCCTAGAGATAAAGTCTAGATTGGTTGTTTATGTGGTTAAAGGCACTGAGACTAATACACACCATTTATCAGGCAACTATGGTATGCCAGATATTCATTAAGCACCTTGTTACATTATCACCAATCTTCACAATAAAGATTAATGATACCTTTCAAGTATTGATTGCTCCTCTCTTGTCCAATAAGGCAGCCAGTAGCTTTGGAACGAGCTGTTTTTGGAGGTCTGATATTAGCAGTGCCACGCAGATGGTTTGATGAACATACAGGAAGATGTTATTCTGGATTTTAAAACTTCTAAGAATTTACCTTACAGAATAAGTCCATCAAGTGTACTAAGACATATGTTCAGAGATGCATGTTCAGAAATGTCTGTCAAAGCAAAAGATTAGAAATATCTGAGATGTCTATCAATAGAGGTTTATCAAAGGATACATTTCATTAATAGAATGTCAACTGCTAAAAAGGATGAGGCAGATCTATAGATAGCAGTATGGAAAAATGTCCAAGATACAGGATCTGAACAGTATAGGCCCATTTGTATAAAATATATAAAATTATATAGAATATACATGAAGGGAGATGGGAAAAAAGATGGCATAATATTTGTGTAAAGTAAAGAATATAGGGAATATAGGTATAGAAAGAAAGGAAAGGACAGATGGAAAAATCTGTGGAAGTGTGCATAAAATGCTGCTAATACACAGAAAGTATAACTAGGGAGCTGGAGGTGGGAGCTAAAGAAACGATCGTTTCCTTTTTTAACATAAAAACCTTCTATACCGTTAATATTTTAAACATTGTGCATGTATTAAACTTATAACTTAAAAGCCAGTTATTTAAAAATAATAAGAAAACAGAGGGCGTGCGACTTGTTATTAACACCCTTGGAGTCTGTGAAGAGACCACAAAGAAACCATGCAAGCTTATTTCTGCAGCGATGCTCAGGAATTAAGAAAAAAAGTTGGTTTTTAGCAGAATTTACACTGATAATGTAAGCTCAGGTTAATAATACGCTCAGAATAGACCAGAGATTGCTGCATTGAACATATTCAAATGCTGTTAAAGGAAAGGTATTCCAGGGCAAAAATGTTGGGCAGATGGATGGCTCAAGATGCTTCCCAAAATGTTATGAAGTCTCAAAAGGATACAGAAAAATGTAGTATGTGACATGAATTCTTAATTTTAAGGGGCCTCTTTTTTTTTTTTTCTTAAGGAAACATTCATTTTCAAATTCTTTCTCCTGCGTTAGTGCGATAATACGTGAACCATTAGCTATTAAGCTAGAAAATCGCACTGATCCTGTTTAATGATGGTTTTCAATACCAGGCATTTTAGCCCTCATAATAACCTGATGAGGTAGGATTTTCACAAATATGTAAACTGATATCCAGAGAAGGAACTTGTTCAAGGTCACTGACAAGTAGGTGATGAAGTTTTCCTCTGAACCTCCTGCTTGCTAAGGTATGTGCCTCTCAGCCTTCTAGAGAACTGTGGGTCTCTTCACGATCACTTTAGTTGATAGGTAGTGGCTAAGGTGACTCTGAAACGCAGGCATCCTTTCCTCGTGTTTGTCTTTCCACCCTGCCAAATTTCCTCTTAGACCTTGCATCCAGAGCAGGTGTAGAGATGAAGCTAAGCTAAACTAAATTGTGAATCTAAATGTATAACGACATAATAGGTCTCCAATAGTGAGGGTCCTTTTTGAAACCTGTACTCACCATACCTGAACATCTACTTTTTAATTTTTGTAATTTTTTTCATTCTCCTGAGCAACACCTGTCAATTCCATTGTCTGTGGAAGGCAGAGTACTGTGCACTGTCTGGACCCAAAGTGTATGTGAAAGCACAGGCTTATTGGTTACTTTGTTTTATTTTAACACGTTCTGAAGGAAGTGTAACACTGATCATATATCACTCCCTTCTTTAAGACCATTTAATTTCTTCTCAGAATGAAGATAAATTCCTAGTATTAGCTTGCAGGGGGCTTTGCAATCTGACCCTGGCTGACTTAGCAGCAGCAGCAGCAGCAGGAGGAGGAGCAGGAGAAGGAGCCGGAGCCACACTGGTTTCCCTTCACTGCTCAAGTACATCTTGGCTGTCACTTTTCACGGCCTTTGCATGTGCATTTCCATCTGCCAGGGACATTCTTCTCCTGACCAGTTCCTTCTTAGGAGTCAGCATAAAGGCCAATTCTTTGGAGATGTCTTCCATGAGAAACCCTTGGGTAGGTATTTGAAACTCTTGTCACACTTGTGTTTTCTTGACCAAGACATGTCTTTATCAAAAATATTCTGGGCTTGGGGCTGGGGTTTTAGCTCAGCGGCAAAGCGCCTGCCTGGCAAGCGCAATGTCGTGAGTTCGGTTCCCGGTACCGAGGAAAAACAAACAAACAAACAAAAAAATATTCTGGGCTCCAAGAGGGCAGGGACCACACTGATCTTGTTTATTATTCTGAGTATAATCTTTAGCCGCCAGCCTGGTATGTGCTATGTGCCCTAAAAATACTTGTTAATTAAATAAATGGGAACAGAGAACAGCCTATATAATACACAAAGAAGAGCTCAAAAAGCCTAATGGTTCCACACATCTATCACTTCAGAGCTTAGCACTATTTCATATGCAAATATAATTATATATGCTTATAAAGATGTCCCCAGGTTACTGACAAAAGGCTCTGTTCAATGTGCTACCAGGGAAGGTGGCCTTGACATTAATTTGAAAACTATTTCCATTGAAATGTTCAAACAAAAGTAATTCTTCTAACTGGGAACATTAACTGCTTGAAAAAACAAATTACTTAGCAAAATATCTATTGATGCCAGAGAAATTGTTACTGTACTTTGTTTTTTGGGGGGGAGGGTACCAGGAAGTGAACTCATGACCTCATGCTTGCCAGGCAGGCACTGTGCTGCTGAGCTGTATCCCCAGCTCTATTTTGATTTCATGTACACTGTATTTATGAATTTTTATATTGCAAATGGATATATATAATATATATATTTTCCCCATATTAGTCCTTATGAAGTTAATGGGTAAGAAAACAAATTATTTCTTTCTCCATTAGCTTGTCATTGCTATTTTCAACTGGCTCCCTGCCTACAGAGTCCAATATTTTTCTCCTTTTAATTGGTAAAGCCTCCTATGTATCTTAACCATTTCCTTGGTTCTAGAAGAACCAAGTGGTATACATATTACCTTCATCTTCGTGAGGTAAGGAGGTAAATTGAGACAAAGATGCTGACTTCACACAATCAGTATTAACTCACTTATCTTCGTCAATGATGCAACGAATATTCAATGATTGCCAACCGGGTGCCAGGGTCTGTTTTAATTGCTGGGAATATACCAAAAAGTAAGATGGTAAGGACTTTGTTTATACCAACAGCTGATATTCTAGATGAGGGAAATAGATAATCAATAAGAAAACAAACAAAAAGATAATATCAAACAGTGACAGTCACTGTAAGGAAAATAAAAGACAAACAAGGAGGTGGGAGAGAGGGATGGGAAAGGGATGACAAAAGAACAAAGATGTGCTGTGTCCACGTAGCAGCTCCCTGGGAGGAATGGTATCACTATGTACTGCAGACATGTACTAATAAATTTTTTTTTAAAATACGATAAGTGAAATACAGCGTCACTTAACCTTAACCCTAGTCCAGTTTTGGGGACAACCACTGTAGTGTGCTTAGGGAGGTTTATCTGAAATGGTCACAACTGAGGTCTGAATGCAGAAAAGCAGCTAGTGGAGGGCACATTTGGAGGAAGGTCATTCTGTGCAGAGGGAAGAGCAGGAGTAAAGCTTCTGAGGATGGTAAGATCAGTGTGTTAAAGGAAGAGCAAGGAGGCCAGGGTGGCTGGGATATCATGAGTGAGGCGGACAGTGATGGTGCAGATGCACTCAGGCACAAAGGAAAGAGTCTGCTCATGTAGGGTCTCATGTAGGTCATAATGAGGGTGGATCTTTTCTAGAATTTTCTCTAATGAGGGTAAACACTAGACTAAAGCAGAAGCAACAATGTGATTTGCACTTCTGAAAGTTCTTTCTGATGGTCAAGTGGAGAATGGGCAGATGGGGTACAAAAGCGGAAGCAGGGAGCTTAGTGAAGACCATCAAATAGTACGGGTGGGGGAGGACAGTGCTTGCACTGGGATGGTGTCAGTGGAGAGAACAGTGGGTGGATTGGCTGTATATTTTTGAAGTGAGACAGTAGGACTTGATGACCTATCAAGTGTGGAGAGTAAGGCAGATATAATCAAGAATGATGCAGGTCTTTGACTGCAGTAAGTAAGTAATTGACAGAGCTGTTTACTAAGAGAAGATGGTAGAAGAAATTGGTGTCTTTTTTTTTTTTTTAATCAGGGAAAGGATCAAAAAATTCTGTTTTAGGATTATTAATTTAGAGATGCCATTTAGAGATGCCTGGTCAACTGGAACTGACAAGTAGGGAGGTGTTAAATCCCCAAGTCTGGAAAGGAGCATTTGGAGGTGGAGACACACACTTGGAAGTTATCAGTGTGAAGATGGTATTTACAACTTTGGCAGTGGGTGATGTCACTCGAGCAGTGAGTGCTATCACAGAAGGAGTGGTCGTATCTCCCAGGCCCTGAGCCCCACTTCCCACACTGGCCAACAGACACAGTCGCGGGCATGTACCCCACAGTTTCACCCTTCCTGTTCCACTCACTGCAATGATATTTACTGTATTTTCCAGATGAAATGTTACCCTAAGAAATAGAAGATATGAAAGTAGGTGACTAATACATAAATGATGCCATTCTTCAAAGTTGCTCACAAACTGGTCAGCAAAGAGAGTAACTATAACATAAAAGGTGGAATACAATAAAATATTTCCAAGGGGATGGAGGGGATCTTCAACAGATAAACTCAGGAAGACAAGATAAGAGAAGTTCTCAGGGGGTGAAGAATTTGGAGTTTTTCCTACTTAGACAACAGGGCATCGCTGAAGATTTCTGACTACATGATCAGGTTATACCTTTTTTTGCCCCATCCATGGCTGTCATCCTTGTGTCTAGCTCAAATCTCACTCAGTCCACACAGCACTGCCCACTGTCATTCTTCATCTTTAAATCCTTCTGCCTATACTATCTAGTGCCAATCCACTTAGCACTTAATGATACACTGCCTCTTTCGGATGGTTAATTGTAGGAACATCTTATTTTTTAACTGGCTTATTAATCCTTCCTCAGCAGAACTGGTGACTTAAATCTACAGCCCCTGGATCAGGGCCAGGAACATAGCAAGCCCTCAAACGAGGTTTGTCGCTTGAATATCACCTTTCTAGGCAATTATTTTTCCACCTCCAATTAGGTCAACTTCCTTTGATATAGATTCTATAGAACCATTTTCTTTAGGACACAGCTCAGTTTGTAATTGTACACCCTTGTCACAATTTAGATATGGGGTGTCCCCCAAAAGCTTTGTGTGTTTAGAGATTGGACTTTGGAAGATGACTGGATCACCAGGGGCACCACACTCATCAGTGGATTAGTCCACTGGTGAGTGCACTGCTGACTTGCTGTGTGGGGGCGGGGCCTGCTTAAAAACTGGTCACTGGGGACCTGATTGAAGGGTATATTTGCCTCCTGGGCTCCTCCTTTCTTTTTCTGCTTCCTGGTAGCCATGAGGTAAGTCGATTTTCATCAGCCATGCCCCTCTGCCATGCCGTTTCTGCTCTGAAGCCAGCTGCCTGTGGACTCAAAACTGTGAGCCAAAGTAAACCTCTAAGTTGCAGGTGTCAGGTATTTTGCCCCAGTGAAAAGGAAAGTGACTAAGATAACCCTTGATGACTAGGAACTGGATCTGTCCTCCCACAGGCTGTCAGTAGCCAAACAGTGGAGAACATCTCTGGTTTCACATATGGCAGTGTCCCTAAATTGTGTACATTTGTTGAAACTGCCTTAGGAATAGGAATGGCCTGCAGTGGTGGCAACCTATGGCACATGAGTACAGTGCATGCTGTTATCACTGAAAGCTCCAAAAGGACGCCATGACTGGCCTAAGGTACCCAGGAGATCAAGGGGCTGTGAGCTGAATAGCCTTAGGAATGGTCTGTCTGCAGTTTCTCAAAGAGCAATGAAATTCACACCATAAAACCACACCATGGAAGGAGTTCTTTCAGACAATCCCCTTCTGCTTAGGGCCAAACTATTTCCGCAGGGTGGCTTTTCTATCCAAAGTGGGCCCCTTGAGGGCTGATTGATCATTACTTATGACACCCGAGTCCTCCGTTCCACAGAGCAGAGTGAGAGGCAAAGCAGTGTTCCCAACTGTCAGGACGAATAAGCATGATGGCAGCAAACAGGGATCCTCTAGGCAGATGGGGGGACATATGTGCATTTACATATATGTATTTCCTATCAGTAAGTTCCAGCGAAAACACAAAAACTTGAGAACACGGCAGGGATTGAAGGGGTTCTGAAGGTGTTTAAGTCCTTGAAGCAAATTAGTACAATTGCTTTTTAGCTGCAGATGACTTCAGAAAAAAAAAAAAAAAAAAGAGTACTGTTGAATAATCAAATTTCCCCCTTAAATATGTTAATCCCCTTTTCCAAATTAGGTGCATTCGGCTTCTCTTCTAAGAAATGCACTTCCTAGGTTGGCTCAAAAGAGCTGCCCCTATTTCTGGCCCCTGCATGCTTCTCTGTCTCCCTCTACCCCCCCCACAGGCCTATTTCTTCCATTTCTCCAACAGGCCAACCCAGAGTGCACCTCCTCCTCCTCCTTCCTTCTCTGGTTCATCATTTGGGTCTCAGCGCAATGCCCTCTTCGGAGAGGATTTTCTGACCCCAGATTAAAGACGTACCCTACGTCACTATCGCCACTGGGTCTCTCACTCATGGCAGAGTATTTAGCATGTGGAAGTTGGTCAGTAAATACCTGCTACAGAATAATTAGATGAAGATAAGCTGAATCCCATGACTTGCGTATCTGCTGTTTATACAAATATATTGGAGACAGTAAAAGTGATGGCTTGAAGATTTACTGCTTTTGATTACTGCTTTGTCCATGTATAAAACTGCCTTCAAGGAACATGGTTTGCAATTTGATCCACCACAGTATCACCTTTTGCTCCTGTGATTCAGTGAAGATGACCTTGTTGAACATTACCAATTGTCTACAGCTTCCATCCTTCCTTCCTTTCTTGGATGACGGAAACATTGTGATTATGCGTCCATCCAAAAATATACATACTCATCTCCTCAGGCTTTTTCACAGCAACAGCAAGTGGCCACGTAACCCAGCTCTGGGTGCTGAGTAACTGAAGTTGGGTGAGGCGATAGATAAGCTATTCCTTTCTTGATAAAAACAAGTACAGACTCAGGTGTTATCAGTCTTTTGTCCTTTGACCTTCTACCCTTCTCCCTGCCTGGAATGTAGACACGATGCTGGACATAAAATAACTGTCCCGGGCAGCAGGTATTCTCAAGTACTCTCTCTGCCCATGACTCTGTGACTCCTGACATTCACCATTTCTACATTCACCACAGGCTTCCTATGGAAACCTCCTGTAATCCTCTACCTGAGGACCTTCACTAGCTGCAAGACTGTGCTTAGTCTCTATAAGGCAGGGTGGAAGTGCCAGGAGTCAGTGACCCTTAGAATAGCCCTTAATTAATAATAACAGGTAAGAGTGGAAGGGCAAGTATCTCTGCTCTTTGCCCATTGGGTGGGATAATTTTGGAGCAGAAAAGCTCTCCAGTAGGATTGGGCACTAGTTGCCCATAGCAGTAATTCATTAATGCACCCTATATTGGCCTTCTTTTTCTTGTCTCACTTTCCCACTTTCCTCCCTTTCTGGGATCACCTCTGATGTAGATTGTTTGAACATATATACTTGTCTTAGGAACTTTTTTCTAGGGGAAGTCAACCTAACAAATTGATTGTAAGAATGGAAGCCATGTGCTAAGAACAGAGAAGTCTAGAAGGAGCCCAGTCCTTGAGCCTCTGCATCAGCCTTGGACTGCCTGTCTCTGGAAATCATGATTGAGAAAATGAATCTCTGTTTTGGTTGCTATGGCTTGTGCTTAGATGTCCCCACCAAGTGTCATGTGGTCAGAGGTGTTTGTGAGAGGTGGCTGGATCTAGAGTGTGTGACTGATTCATAGTGCAATGCTGGATTAAGAGTGTGTGATTACTAAATTGGTCCACTGACTGGTTTAGCACCGTCCTAATCCCAGTAGCCTAGATAGAGTACAAAAGGGGCAGAAAGATGCTGTTAAGTCCCCTGTTGCTTTTGCTATCTTGTGGGTGCCATGAACTGCTCTCTGTGATGGCCCTCGGCCAAGCCACCCTGCCTTGGCGCCAGCTGAGCATGGACTGAAACCTCTACAAACTGTGAGCTAAATAAACCTTTTCCCCTTTAACTTTGGGTGTCAGGTATTTCATCTCAGCAATAAGAAAAGTAACTAAGACATTGGGTAAGCCACCATTATGATCCTATTGCATAGAGAGCAATGCATTTCTGAGAGGTGTGTAGGATTTTTAGTTGACTCCGTATGTAACCAAGCATCAGTTGGACACATGGCTGCTAACATAGCTAATAGTCTGGCTGCGTTACGACCCCCTTGCACTGCAGGGCGTGTTACAGCCAACAGTGGTTTCGTACATGCCTAATCCTCCTGTTGATTCTATGAAGCAGGTATTATCAACTCCATTTTCCAGAAACCCAGAAGGGCTGAGTAACAGATCCATGATTTCAAGGCTAGTAGTGGAATCAGGACCCTTTAAGTCCAACGATCTTTTGCAACCGACAGAGGCTGGATTTTCATTCTATGAAAATCTCTATGATATTTCTGTTAGGAGTCACACTTCCCACCTGGTTCCTTTGTCTTTCTCCTAAGATTCTGTGCTCTTCTGTGCAGACTTCCAGTCAGTACTTTCCATGCCTATGAGACTGTATGCTTCACTTGCTTCTACTGGATCTCCCTTTCCCAGTTGCCAAAGATCATAAACTTTATACACTAATTACATGCTCTCCCAATCATGTACTAAATCCTCTTATCTCTAGGCCTTTGCTGCAGCTCTGGCCTTTGCCAGGAATGCTTTACTTCAGAAGTGGAAATTGTAGTTTGGGCCCAAGGAGCATAGTCTGTTTGTGCAGGCTTGTTGTAGGCAGGATAACCATCTCAGTATGGCTCATAGCAGCAAAAACACACAGATGCTTAGTAAATACGTATAATGTTGAAGTGGATAGCCATGGTGGAAGCCCAAGTTGAATCCAAATTTATTCTTGTTTAAAAATCATTAACATCCAATCGCATCACACATAAAAATGAAAGAAACCCTGTAACAAATTTCCGACAAATGAAATATACTGCATTGAACCTTTAACAAATTACAGTCAAGGATGACACTTTTCTAAAAACAGGATACAATTCAAATATTAAAATGTTGACCACTTAAACATCATGTGACCCATATCAAATAATACTCAATATACTTTTGTGAAATACGTTAATGAGAACCTAGGAGTTTCTGTATAAAGCTGAGCATTTTTAACATTCTTGTTTGGATGAGAAAAGATTGCATTCTCTCACTGGTGACTCAGGAAATGCAGCACACTTGAGTTACACCTGCTGGTGTGTGGAGACCAGACTAGCACCCATGCCTAGCCGGGCTTGACAAAAGCATGCCATGCTCCTGTGCCATTCTAGGACCCACCATGGTTTGATAGCGGGTGAGGCTACATGCAGGGTATGAGGACTAGAACAAGGGGCCCACTGCGGCTGGGGGACTCAAGAGAAAGCAGCATGCAGACAGTGCTTTGACTTCAAAACACATGTTCAGCGAGGCAAAGCAGCAGCCGGGAGCCTTCTCACAATCCTCTGGGTCAGCAACTTTGAAGATATTTGTGTTAAAGTAGTGGGCAGGAAGTACAAATGCTCACTGGGCCCAACTCAAGAATCAAGCCATCACAACAGACTCGACTCTGAGGACAGGTGATTATCCAACCAGTTGTAGACACAGGCAGGGTATCCACTCAGAGGATACCTGTCTGTCTGGTTCCAGCAGGTAAGGAATCTATAAAGATGCTTGTCACTTTTTGGAAACTTATTTCACTACATGTCATAAGGACAATAAGGTTCATTAAATGACAATACAAAATTTACAAATGAGATGACAAAAGGATTTTAAGTACATTTTGTTAGGTGAAGGCTTTTTTTTTTTAGCTAAATAGAATTTGGTGAGACAAAAAGATAATTATACCACAGTTACTGTCAAGACTTTTAGATTATAGCTGAAGTTCCAAAGGTTAAGGAAGTTACAAAAAAGATGGGACTGCTAATTATAGATAAAGAGTATTTTATTAGATACAAAAAATACTAATGTGTGGTTTTATGCCTCTTGAAAACTAGCTTTACAAAGTAGTGCCAACTCCTATTAATTCTTTGTTTGTGTTTTGAGACAGGGTCTCACTCACTAGGTAGCCTACGCTGGCCTTGAACTCTTGATCTTCCTGTCTCAGCCTCTCAAATACTGGGATTGTACGAGTGCTTGTAGGCGTGGGCCACCTCACCTGCAACACGTATTAATTTTGTTCTACTTCATGGCACCATAACCAGGAAGATTCAAATTAAACCAGTTACTCTGGCTACCAATTAGGTCACCATTATGTTTCTAAAATAATTGATCTAGGATATACTGCAGTAGCCAGCCTATACTTTATTATATCATACTGTACAAGCTTATACATTTTTTTCAATATTTCCTATGTTTTTCCAAAGTTCTGTTTCTCAGGACTTTGATCTTTAAGTCTGTCTACCTAAGGTTTCTAAACACGAATATCTCTTCTGAGAACATGCTGGGTAAAACTACTATCTTTAATGCAGCACGTGACATTTTAAGAAATGATTCTAAACCTGCTACTGTACATGAGGACATACATCTGAGCATCTGAGGGATATTCAAATGATCTGACCCCTCACAAGGGATTTGAAATTTTTTAATTTTTCAAAGGAAACACTGCAGGAAAAGAAAAAATGTTCTATAACCTAGGATATGTTCAAAGCCCTTGCTCTCATAGCCAAATGTATGAAAACAATTTTCCTTGAAGAAATACACGTCTATAAGCCAAGGCAAGCTTTGGCTAAATGATTGGTAGCTTTTGTTTGGCCCTGGAGGTTTCCATAGAAACAGCCTGAGAAGCAGGAAAGGCAGTATTATCATCTTTATCCATAAAGCCATCTGATAAAGCTGCAAACTGATTCATTCATACTGTCTAGAACAGACGAATTACTTCTGATAGGCCTGGACAAAGGGAGGCATGAGTTCCACTAGTCATTTTGAATTTCTTGGCTTCTTCTGGTTGAAGCCTTAAATTAAAATCCTGATAAAACCTCCTCTGAACATTTCCCTCAGGATCCTCTAGTTCAAGTAATGCTTCAGTAACCAGAAACCAAATGAAGAAACGTGAAGCATCAAATGCAGTTCCACTGCCAAGTTCTTAAAATTATATGGCACCAAGCTTCCTGTAGCTGAATGAATTATTCTGAAGAGTATTTACAATTCCATTATATCAGATCTTAGCCAGGCAAGAAATGCCATCCTAAGTGTTTACTATACATAGTCAAACCAGGTGGCATCATCCATCACTTTCCTCCCATTTTACATCTAGAGTATCTGTGTGTGTGTATTTTAATGTAGTCATACACCAAACACAATCATCTAATCTTATTTCAGGTAGTAATTTCTCAGGACACAAAAGCAGCCCTTGCTTAAAACTACACATCTGAAGTACCCAAAAATAAAAATATAAAAAATAAAATATCAAAACAAGTGAGATAAGGAGACATGCAACTTTTAGCACCATATTTAAGATCACAGAGTGAAAGGATGTTGGCCAAGGTCTAAAGAGGAATATGCAGTGCTTGGTAACCTAAAAGGAGATCTCAAACACAGGACCCACTTGTAGAGTCCAATACTTTTAAAAAGGGAGTGCCTGAGAAGTTCTTAACAGAAGTATCAACACCCATAATCTACCAGAGACAGACAATTTGACATTGTACTTCTTCCAGAAGCCTTGAAGATACTATTCCTTAGGAACGGACTGCTTACTTTTAGAGGTCAGCTGGGAAAAGACTATCAGCTCCAGTGAACTAAATGATGTCTCCCAAGAAGGATCAATTCACTCATGGAAAGCAGTTTACCAATGAGCAGTAGCTCCCTGATATCTGTGTAACAACATAGTCATATGCTATGCTGAAAAGCCTCAATCTAGCACATGTAATTGTACATTCCACATGGAAGGACATCTGAAAATTACCCACACTTCTGGGTACTATGGCACTGGTGTAGGAATCCAGACCACAGAACAAAATCTCAGTTGGTCCTTTCCAAAAAGAAGAGACTAAATGTCTAGGGCAAAGTTTAGCTAGAGATGTGCTACAGATTTTCATGGTGTAAGGGTAACAGGCAGGAAGTTATAGGATTAGACACAACTTTAGATTTCATCAAATGTGTATCTCTTATCTTACTGATGGGAAAACTGAGGCTTCAAAATAAGCATCACATGTGACCAATGGAAGAACTGTGGCCAGAAGAGAAGCCACAGAACTCTTAGTTCAGTATTTTTCCCATCACGTTTATCCCTTAGGCTCCTTTACATCTTAACATGCAACATTTAATCAACTTTAAGGAAAAGGACAACTAATGGGAAACTGCCGAATTTTTGCAAAGAATTTGGCAGTTCATGTTCTGATATGCTTAACATCAAAGGGCAAATCTCCAGTCATCTTTTGGTAAAAATGTTATCTCCTCCACAAGACACGTTCCTTTCCTGAGGGCTGTTTTTGCAGGGGCTGGGCTAGCTCACACCTGGCAGTTTTCACACACTCCATCTTTGTAGTTAGAGCTAGATCCCGCAGATCCCGCATCATCAGGCGGGCTGAAATGACTGCTGTCTTGAGAATCTGTATCAATACTTTTGGTCTCTGACTGAAGGTGGACAGAAACCTGCACTGCTATCTCTTGGCCTTGTTCATTCAGCGAACCATCATCTGAATCTCCTCCTGGTGAATTACTCCGCCCCATCTCTGGGTTGATGACATAGATGCCACCTTGAGCATCCAAGGCAGGTCTTTCTTTAATTCTTTCGCCCATGTCATCAGGGTCGTTCACTCGCACAGCCTCAAACATCTCCTCAACAAAAGCCCGACAGTTTAGAATAAGGGGCGGAAGAGGGACGCTTCTTGCTAGTTCTTCAATGTAACGAGCAAACTCCATGGTCTTAAACTGAGTGACTTTAGCAAGCTCCAGAGTCTTGGCCGAGGTGATGATGGGGATGCGCTTTGCAATCTCAAAGGCCTTCTGAAGTTTCTCGGCCCCTTCAGTTCTGAAGAATTCGTTGATGGCCTTCTCCGTCTTGCGAAGATGGCTGCTCATCATGCACAGCCGGGTGACATTCAAGATGAGGGTGATTGTAAAGGCAATCAGGCAAACAATCATATAGTAGACACTCATGTCTCCCGAGGTGAAAATCACACGCAGGGTGACAGAGTAGGAGGCATTAATCGGAGACACGACAAAGCATGTATAGAGCCCACGGTCATCAAAGGCTACGTTGGTGATATTCAGGAAGTTATCAGAAACCAACCATTTTCCACCTGATAATCCAACAGACATGAAAAAAATTACAGCATAATGAATATTACCAAATATGCCAACCACCTTATCAATATGCCACCTCTTCATGAAAGCACTTTAACTCTTGAGTTAGATTCTGTTTGTTTGAATCATGTGAAAAATGGGCAGATGTTCTGTCCAGACTCAAAATATAATTAGCTTGGAATTTAAAAAAAGAGATCAAGATCTTCCTTTTGACACTAGTAATTTCTTCTTATTGCTAGATAACTTTTTCTTCTTATTGCTAGATATAAAAATGTCTTGCAGGGAGACAGGTATGTCTAAATAGTATTAAATGACTAATTAAATAAATGTTTACATTACTGGTATGATAAAAATCTGGTGAATGTTTAAACTAATTTATTACAGTAAAAGTCACATTGCCATCAATCCCCTTAAAGAACTCCCCCTTGTTTCAACTTATCTCATCACTCTTGCCACTTTTTGAAGCAGTTTACAGTTCACATTTGTGGCAAGTTCTGTCAAATAAAAGTATTACGTTGTGTCCTTACTCACCCTATTCCCCACACTGGGCACCATGAGACTTCTGGCTCTTCCCCAAAGTCAAATTACCATGAAAGGTAAAAGTTTTGAATCAATTGGGGACATCAAGGCTATCATGACAGCACAATTAGAGAGGACTTTCAGAATTGCTTCAGAAAGTGGCAAGAATGATGGGATAGGTGTGTTTAAAGTAAGGGAGACTATTTTTAGGGGGATTGATAGCAATGTGTCTTTTACTGCAATAACTTTTAAAACAATAACTTTACTTTTTAATCACACAATATGTATCTACACTATACGTGCTACCTCTATGTTTTCATATACTGGAAGGATATGCTTCAGAAATTTAAGACAATTATTTCTAGGGTGATGGGTTGTAAATAATATTTTCTTTTTAACCATGTTTGCTCACTTTCCATAATGAATATATATGATAAGGCATAAAAGTTGTTTTTTTTTTTTTAAAAACCTAGCAATTTAACTTAGTTGTTCAATTATTAACTGGCTAATCTGGCACACTTTGCACATGTTAATTTGCTTTGTTAGGTGTGTTGATATCTTGATTTTCTGCCAAGAGTAAGTGAAGCACAAGCCAATATATGTGTCTCATAAGTCAAGGTAAATGAACAGGTTGGCAAAGAGAATCAAGTTGCCCTTAAAATGCCTACCCCTCTATTTTAAGCCTGAAACATGCTGCCTCTCCTCCACACATGAAGGTATCTTTATTCATGGACCAGATACACTAAGTATAAAAGTGTATGAGAAAGCAAAGCATACTGAATACCCACCTTGATTCAATATCCTTCAATAACATGGATCCGCTGTACATTTTTTACCTTCATGGTAAATTCCCAGAATATTCTGTGCATTAATTATGAAAGCCGCTCAAAGATGGAATGGATGGGCTACCTTGGGTTGTGGGTGGCCCACTGATTAGAAATGGTGTCCCAGAGGAGGCTGCGTGAGTACTTGTTAGGTATCACCTGAGCACCTAGTCTTTCAAAACTCTTCATCCCAAGATTCTATGGTTTTGGATTCTTTTAGTGGCATACAAATTAGTAAGCATGCTATTTTTATCATCATCAAAACTGATCTAAATTCTACAGCTCTATTTATTTTTAGGAGCCATCATTTCTCTAAGGGAAACAAGGAAGAAACTACATAGCTATGAACAGAGCATTGTTCCCTAAGTTCCTGTTCTATGAACTTGAAGCTATGAAAAGGACACTCTTTGAATCCAAAGCATGATGAACTGCATGGACTCCATTAATCAACCACCGCACTATGACCACAATCTAAACTCTGGAGCTCACTTACTGATAATAGCTCAAGATTTATGAACCTTACACTAGACTGACATGCTCTTTAAACTCCTCTCACTTGAGATTCATAAAATTTAATACAATTTTCCAGAGCTGCTGCTGAAAGCATCAATGATAGATGTTAGCGGTTTCCAAAGTAGAGGGAAAATAGGCAAATGAAACTGCCACTCCACTTGGCTGGTTCTGTCCTAACCTAAGGCTTTGTTTATGAAGTTAGTCTATAACGATCACACTGAATAATTCAAGCCTCAGATGTGTTTGTTCACTATATCCTAGAGCCCAGAGGAGACTGAAGTCTAGTTTAGTGGGTCCAAATACAGAACCCTGAATCATGTTCAAACTACCACATTCTTAGCACCATTTTAGATATCATGATTTAATAGATCCGTATTTTTAATAAACTGATTTAAAATATTGTTCTAACAATTCAAATTCTTTAAGTGCCTGCTGAACAGTTATTTAATGTGTAGAAGGTTAAAATCTTTAGTGTATGTTTATTATATTTATACACTGCTTTGTTTGTTTACAGTCCTGGAACCTGAACCCAGGCCTCATGCATGCTAAGAAAGTGATTTACCATTGAGCTTTGGATGAAATCTGTAGTATATATACACTTCTGAAGGAAATACTATCTACCTCCATTTTATTTTCTACTTTAATATGAATGACCAATATCCTTTGTGGATAGACTAGGCTAGACTATCTTTTCAGGAAAAAAAGATAAGATGTCCTTTTCTCAAAGTTTAGCTTGTGGGGATCTCAGAATTTAATTGTCATCTCTGGCTTTTCATGGTGATTTGTTTTTAAAAATACTTTCTAACTCAAGTACTTTGTAACTTAAAAGATCCTTCTAATAGAATACTGGCTAAGGAATTAGTAGTTCAGATTAAGATGTGGGTTAACAGGTCCACCAATGCCAAAATCATATAAAAACCTGTCAAAGGGGAATATTTATTGCATTATCATTATGTTTATATTTTTGGTAAAGCCTGAGAAACAAAAAGTGCAAGGATCTCTTTCCTGTTTTCAAGTAAATTAAGTACAGAATAGAAAAAGAAAAAGCTGGAAAGGTTACAGAATTCCACAGTACACTTCTAATGTTCAAGGGACTTGAGTTTTATGCAGATTTATATAGTAGGCCTCTAGTATCCATGGGTTCCACAACCTTGGATTCAACTAACTTCAAAATGAAAATATTGGGGGAAAATGTTTGCATTTTTACTGAGCATGTATACTTTACCCCTGGCCATTAATACAGTAAATAACTACTTACATAGCATTTACATTGTCTTAGATATGTTAGTAAACTAGAGACAGCTGGCTGTAGCATATGGGAGGGTGTAAGTAGGTTCTACACAAATGCTATATCATATTATTTAAGAGACTTGATCAAGTGTGGATTTTGCTATTTGTAGACAATCCTGGAACCAATCCTCCAGGATACCAAAGGGCTACCTGATTCATTTTAAAAAAACATTCTGGGTTTCCTCTAACATTTATAGTAATTCATTTAAAAGCAAAAATTTTTTGTTCTCTTTGATCTACCCAAAACTTTTAGGTCCTTACAGAGGGCCACTACACTGTACTATTCACACGGCAGTTTAGGTTCCTCTGGAATTGTACAGTGCCCTGCCTGCACGGCTGTATTTAGCATCCCTCATCTAGTCTACTCCCTTCAGTGAAGACTACAACCAATTCATCAACAGGATGCTCACTGCCATCACGTGAACACTTTTAAATTTGTAACTATTTTATTTTTTCTTCTGGTTAAATAATTATCATTGCTTTATTCCTTTTGATAGGGATAAAACACTCCAAGACTTTCCAAAGTTTTAAGACACATAAATCTGGCATCTCATCTTTGAGATTTCTTGCTAAATGTGTCAGAAAATCAAGAGAAAAGAATAGGAAACGAGAAATCTTGATTAATTTCACCCTGATGCAATTACCTCTGCCATCCAGGTATTGTCCTTTAGAGTTGCTCCAGTGGACATCTTCATAGTGAGCAACGGTGAGAAGACATTCGAGGGAAACGCTAGCTCCCTCTTTGGCTATGATGACATCACTGCCTGAGTGGGAACCTGCTGACACTTTGGAAGAGCCCTGATTTGCTCCCAAGGGGGTAACTCCGGTGAAGTCCGCATCTTCCAAAACAAAAGCAGCAGGCACAGTAATAACCACCATGAAAGTGAAGAAGCAACAATACGGCTTCATGGGATAGTGAAAAAAAAATCTTCTTTAGCCTTGGAAAACTCAAAAGCTGCTCTGCTACGACAAGAGTACAGTGGGAGATTTACTGCGTGGTGAAGTTTTCTAAAAGAGTGGTAGGTAGATCCAAGTGTAATTTGAAGTCTTCACGACTAAGAAGATATGAGTGGAGGCCAACCTAAAAGAAAGCCAAATATAAAATTCAAGCAACTGAGACTCACAATGGGGTGAAATTCTGTATGTATCAGAAATGAAGAGATGAGAAATGGATTAAAATAACTGGTGCTGACATCAGGGAGCGATTAGAGACACCACTTCAAAATCTCACGCAGAGATGGTAGAAAAAGCACAGAATTAGGGAAGAGCAGACCTGGATTCTGGTCCCAGCTTGCTGCTAACTAGCTGTACGACCTTGGCAAGGAGCATTTTCCCTGGGCTTCCACTTTCTCATCTGTCATATGAGGAACTAGATGAGAAAATCTCCAAGGACTTTTTTAGTTCTGAAACGCTATCATCCTATTTCACTCTAACAAAGTCTATGCAACAGGAAGCCAATGAAGGCTAAAATATTTAGCTTAACGATCTTTTCTTTCAACCTGCAACATTACCATCTGTTGTTATATCAATATTGTAAATCAACCAGTATATTATAATCATAATTATGCAACTCAAAATTTATATAATTCAAGTACATACATATATTAAATATAAATAATGCAAGGATATTTAAGGTAGTCTTTTTAGAGTTAATATTAGAAAGAAAATTGCTCTAAAAGCATGTATGTTAAGTAGAGATACTGGCTTCTGGGGCTGTAGAGCCTTCCTCTTGGGAAAAAATGTTAGATAAAAGAATTTTCCTTTCATGTTTCTTCAATGTTAAGAACCAAAATATAATATGTAACAGTTTGTAAGAACACCAGATTTCTAGCTCAAAGTCTAATGAAACCAGCTAAGGGAAAAACTGACATCTGAAGTGTGTGCAGTTGGTAGAAATGCAAAAATAAAACCACAGGGAAAGGTTATTAGACAGTCTTAACAGAAGACCAAAATACCATAAAGAAAAAAGGCAGAATACAAGTCCAGTCTAAGAGTTAAAGCATTTATGATTATCTTCCCTCTCATTTGGTTCCCCTTTTAAATCACGGACTCTCAAAAGAAAAATTTCAATTTATATTTCTATAAAATAGGGGTTGAAATTCCTGGCTTTATGTCATGTAAAGGCCCAAGATAATTAGTTTTGGAAATGACATTTACTCTCTTTTATACTCACATGAAGGCTGTTTGATCACAGAACATAAAAAGCAATGGATCATTGTATTTTGCCATTAAACTCCTCAAAGTCTGAATTATAAGTTATAAATGTCATTTAATTTTCATTAGCCTTTGAAAGGATGGTTGAATAATGACAATAAATAGTCTTCTAAATCCTTAAAATTTAAGAATAGACTAGAGCAAAACAAAAAATTTTAGACTTTGGCTTTACACGACACATTGAACACATGTTTATTTCTACTTTGTCCTAAAACTTGACTAAAATGATACTGAAGGAAACGAAGACTTGGACATTAGAGGACAGTTAATAAATGATTTAATTTAATCTATAAACTTCACAGTGACTTCCTTGGTAAGATTATGCTAGAATTAATCAGTAAATACAGACTAGAACCTGATCTCTATTTTGTAGGAAGTACTGATAGGCAAAAACAAAGGAAATAACATTTATTGACTGAAAGCCATAAACCAGGCACTGTGCTAGGCGCGCAACAGAAAAAGTTCCAAATTCATTTTCACTACAAGATTGGACCTAATTTTGTTCTTTATTCTAGACTAGTGTTTTTCATCATTAACAGGCTATGTGAGTGTGCGGGAAAAGCATACTAGGCTTCCCTAGGACTCTGACAAGAAGTCCCTATGGCTTCAGTCACACAGTATTTTCCAAGTTTCATTCATTCCTTCTGCTGTCATATATTTCTTTTTTTGCTATAGCTGGGATTCAAATTACTACCATTTATCCTTTTCCTTTAAAACAACTCGTTATTTTATTCTTATCTACTTAACATGGAACAAAACTCTACATCACTTCTGTGGATGAAAGTAACTGTACACTTAGTATAATGAAAGCAGAACAGTGCAGGTAACTTGCTCACGGATCTGAGCTGGAGGCCTGCTCTTTGTGAGGGAAAACGCCAAAAACAAACAAATATAAAGCTCTCCATGACTTCAGTTTATTCTAATACCCCTTCACTTCTATCCTGCCATCTCTCTCCTCCCTACCTCTTCCCATCACTGAGTTTTAGACCACAGGTATACATTTTCCTCTCCTCCGCAGTACCTACTGCGCACCTACTCTGTGCTAACTCTACTGTTCTCCTGACACCATCTCTGTCTTCCCAGAGCTCAGTCTGGCTGGGGACTCAGAAACTAACTAAATGTATACAAAATATGCTTAGTGCTGCCAAGGGAAAGTATAGGATGCTACAGGACGATGCAGCATGGAGCGAACCTCATTCCCAAAAGTGTCTCTGACAAAGCTGTGCAGCAGGACCTGAGCGATCAGCAGGAAACAACAGAAATGCTCCAGGTGGAATGCCAGGGCACAGGGAAAAAGTGGAGCTCACTGGTCAGGGGACATTCAGGGAAAGACCTACAAGTTGTAGCAGTGACAAGTGGGTCTCATTAACCACTCTCAGGTGGCCAGAGAATGCGAGATTTCATTCCTGATTCCGGAGGGGAACAGGCGGGGCTAAAGGCAAAATCGGAGACGGATTCTGAAAACTGTAGTGACTGGAGTAAAGAAGATATCTGTTCAAGATGAAAAAGTCAAAGAATGGAGTGGCTCTGAAGAGCAGTAGCTTGTTGGGGGGATAGTCACGACCCCCAGGATCAAGTCAGCGAGTGCAGAAGACAGTGAAAGTAGAGGAGATGGGCTCATCCTCCTCGCTCTGAGATTCAGGAGCACTGGGGGAATAAACAGCCTCCAAGAGAGGGGTCCTGGGCAAGTACGTCTCACAGAGAGGACTGCATTACTGCGCAGGAATCTCTTCTTGACGCACTTCCCTAAGCCTCCTTTCTACGCCTGCCTCCCTCTCCACATGCCTGGGTACAGAAGGCTTCTCTCGGACCCCGAGCACTCACTATGTGCCTTATTCACTGGCTCTGGCCTGAGCTGCCCTGCGGTGCTCAGCAGTCTACTCATCTGACCTATGAGTCCCCTCACCAGAGACTATGTTTTTGATTGCTATACGTCATAAGTAGTATATACTCAATAAATGTTTATTGATGAAGATAGTTTCAATCTGATATAATAGGTATCTATTATGTCTGTATCATTATTATTCAAAATGGCGTATGTTTACTAGTACCTATTTTACTTTCTAGACAAAAACAATGTTAACAATCTCCAAAGACCTTACAGGTACCTACCCAAAGACATTCTTCAAACTGTCAACCCCTAAAGTCTTCATCTATCATCTTGTCCTAGAAGATAACATTGGGAATAAAAGTTCACCAAGTCCAGAGTTTCCAAACCAGGCCGAATATCACAATTACCTAGAGAGCTTGTTAAAAATATAGATTCTTGGGTCCCATCCAAGACCTGCTGGGAACTTCTGGGCCTCATCTTTTGAATTCAGGGCTTCTAATTAGTTCTCCAGGTAATTCTGGGCAGTGGGTCCATGTTCTATCATCCAGGGGCTGCCCATGGAGATCCTCATTTCCTTTACCACAAGCCTGGCTACTTCCAGTAAGAAAGAACTAACCAGTCACAGTCTATTTTGGATTTAGATTACTCTGTAAAAGTCTAACAAAGTTTCTGAGAAAGCCCTAGCACTTAGGTTTAGAGTACAGGCTCTGGAGACAGATTTCCTGGGTTTGAATCCTGGGTCTGATTCTTAATTAGCCCTGCAACTTTTCTAAACTTCTCAATTTCCTATGCTTCAGTCCCCTCATTTTTAAAGTGGGAAAATTATAGTACTTATTCACCTAGGACATTGTGAAATCTTATGAGATAGTACACGCAAAACGTGGAGTTTAGCAGCAGTAATCACTGAATATTGTTATTGTTGATAGTTCTCTCAGATATTGTGTTAAAATATACCCATTACACCATTATACAGCAATTTTACTCAGAATACCATGTAAACACCTAGAAATCTTGTGTTTCAGGGTACTATTATATGATTTCAATCTTTAAAACTTTACCTTTTTCCTTTTCTCACTGCAAATATTTTGCAACAATATGGATCAAACAGACAGTGTAAACTGAGCTGGGCCCCAACTATGATGTTACACTGTTTTGATGTATCCTGAATTCCGCATGGAGAACATTCTTTGTAATCTACTCAGTTCAAGCTCCCTGTTTTGAGTACTGCCTCCATCTTCCTGGGCCCAGGAGGAGGCCAATCCATTAGCTAACCACACTAACCAGAATCTGTGTTACTAGTATTTAGAAAGGAGGCACCTGTGCTTTGGGCCATTCGGGGAGGAAAAGGCGTATGGGGGCTTAGGGAGTCAGGTGTGGGACACCTGCAAGAAGCAGCTTAGAGAACGGACAACAGATGTAGACAGGCAGAGAGTGGTAGAAGGAATGAGGGGCAGAGAGGAGCACAAAAGACAGAGATGGATACGTGTTGCTCTGGATTCTGACATAATTCAACTCTTTAGCTCCAACGACTCTTCTTTTTTTTCCCCAAAGAAGTAAACATCTTTAATTTTATTCAAAGTTAAAACAAAAATGAACACCAAATATGCAAATAAGAAAGTAAATGGGGAGGGGCTGGGGATTTAGCTCAGCAGCAAAGCGCCTGCCTGGCAAGCGCAAGGTCGTGAGTTCGGTTCCCGGTACCAGAGAAAAACCAAAAAAAAAAAAAAAAAAGTAAATGGGGAAATGGGTAAGTAGGAGACAAAAGACTAAGCTCAGCAGAAGTAGCTGAACTGTGGCTGTGTCCATGAAGCAATCCTCATCTTCCTCTCCAGCTCTTCTCCTTTCACACTGGGTGTGGCAGGCAAACTGCCCATGTGGCCATATTTGCACTTCATGTTCTAAACAGACCCAGCTGTTTGCTTCTACAGATGCTCTCAGAGGCCTACAAGACTGGGTCTAGAAAAACACTATGAACACCCTGCACTACTTTTCAGCCAAAGGTGGCAGAAGTAGCTTGATACACTGATTTTATGCTG